TGTAGGATTTCCTAAAACTTCCTACTGTCCTCACAGAGAAGGAATATTGTTAGGTCCGTCATTGTTCTCTACCCATCTAACAGTCTAAAAATCATTTTTTATCTGAGTAGGCATAAGCTGGACCCTAACCAAATCCAGGCTTATGCTTCAACACCCACAAGCCTTCTCTGTCTGTCTTCATGTCTTCATTAGAGGAAGTGTATCCCACCTCTGGCTCACCAGATGGAGTCCAGTGCTTGCTCTATGCATAGTATCGGCACATGTTGTGCACAGTCAAAAGTGCAAATAATGAATTTGACTCCAGCAGCCCCACAGCAGATGATAGCTCATCATCTAGCAGATGAGCTAGAGAAGTGAGCCGTTCCTCTAGCGATGAATTGAAGGGGAGGTTCAGGGAGGCCAGACTGTACAGGACTAGAGTGGGATTTAGCCAGGGCACTGGGGCAGCAGCCCACCTGTGATGATCATTGCTGTGATGCCTTTAATGATCGAGTAGCAGGTAGTCAGGATCTTGGTTTAATTAGTGCCTCGTGAAGAATGGCGCCCACTCTGAATGTGTCCCCAGTCACAAGGGGAGCCTGGGTTGGTGGTTCTGGTTCAGAAGGAAGCATGGCACCTACTGGTCCATCAGAACCACTGTTCGTAATGTGGCTTTGCTTAGCGGTTTTGCATCCCTGTGCTGACCAGGCCCGGCATTGCTCAGCTGCTGGAATCTGACCTCATCAGGTTACAAGGCGGAAACGTTGGTTCAAGACGGGGATCGAACGTTTCACTGCAAAACGCCATCTTGTCTCATTCCATATCCCTTAACAGTGTGAATTCAGGCAGTCAGAACAAATCATGAAAGTCCCCTGTCGTTCTCTTCTACCTTCAGAACTATTCCTTCACTTAATAGCTCTGTTCCTGCCTGCAGGTTGTTCTCTGTACTTTAAGGATTTCTAAAGTGTCTTTGTTTACGCCAGATCTTTCTGTTCTTCTTTCCTTCACGGGCTGTACCGTAGGCCCGTACGTGACGGGCTCGCTGTGCCGGATCCAGAATCTGTGCTGGCAGAGCGTGCAGTGCAGTGCGACTGTAAACATTTAAATGTTATGTAATTAAGGACGCTGGAATGATGTAAGCTGATACTTTGCAGTTAAACGCTCGGTGCCAAACTTCATGCAAAATTACTAATCCCACTAGAATTTTGGCTGCGCTTGCGGCTAATTGCTGTATACTCTGAAGATATTTGATTGCAATGCAAATGGGATATTTGAGGCATGGATGTGAAGTTATTACGGATGGTTTTAACCCCTTTTTTTGTCCTGATGCTTCTCTGTTGGGGAAGATAGCACTCATTACTCCACAAGTAGAAATTTACTCTTAGCGTGTTCCCCTCCTTATGGTAGGAACTCATAAGGTAAGGAAGAGGACTAGTTCCTTGGTTTTAGGGCTTGGTATTACATGCATTTTTGACATGTGACGTGTGAATCTGGTAAGTGGCCATATTGTGAACCCCATGCTCTTGTCAGCCAACTTTTTTATCTCTATCTAAATGGCTTTGTACAAAGCTGTTATGTTTGACATTTGTGTGGTTAAGAAGACACTTGTAGGTCTATCTGGGCTCAGAAATGTGTAAATCGAGGTCTGCTGTACCTACCTTTTCAAGGATCGTGAGCAGCTATAAGCCAAGAGTCAAATGCCAACTAATATGTGTGGTATTTGTACAAAACCTTATAAAGTTGAATTGGGTACTTTCATCATTTGCTGTCAGTGTCTTAGAGAGCGTAAAAATTATACGAATCTGCCATCATAAAATAAAAAATGGAAATAACCATCATGGGTTGATTTTTCTTTAAAAACAAAGACCATTTCATATGATGTCTACTTGGCAGAAAACCAAGCCAATGACTTTGTAACTTTTAATGGACTCTTCTGTATTGGAGTAAAAGTGACAAGTGAGAAGAAATATGTACTCGGTCTGCATCCTTACATTTTTCAGAAGTTAGTTAGACCCGGGGAAATATAAACCCTCCAAAAGTGTTGCTTATATGGGCAGCTGTTGGGGGGGGGGGGGGGGGGATAATTTTGGAGCGATTCTTCATTGCTGTTTTCCGGCCACAACATTCAGGCGAGCTAGATAGCTGGATTCACTGCTGGAAAACTGGGACAGGCGAGCGTCTTAAGGATGCCGGTGGTCAGTTTTTAGATCCCTAATGGAATCCTCCTCTGGAAGTTGAATAGCTGTTAGCGTTTCCACATTGGGAGCACAAAGGGAGGGAGATAATTGCCAGATCACAATTTCTAAAAAAGAAGGTTGTTCAGAACTGTGTGTACGGGTTTAGGCATGCTAGTTTGAGAGGGGTGAGTCTGGGCTTGACAGGAAACAGGGCTTGTGTGCAAAGCAGTGGTGTGTGTATATGGGGGGGGCTGGGCGTGTGGCTTTGTGCCAGTGAGATTTTATTGCCTTGACTGTCTGGCAGTTGGCGTGTAGCGAATGTAAGTAAAGGATCTGCATTCCATTATAGGTCTTGGGCGCAAGCCAAATTCAGATTGAACAGAGTTTCTTCTCATAAAAGAGAAGGTATTCAAGTCTGATAGTTTTTTTTTTTGTCCTTCACTTCTTTGCGTTTATTGATCTCTTTACTGTACGTGTCCGTAGTTATTTTTATGTTTTTGTGTGCCCAGCGGTCTTGCCATTACTGTCTTAACGGTTACTTTTAGGTGCAGCCGGGCCTCTATTCAGAATTAACTTTCCCAAGTCTTTGCATTGTCTGAGCTAGGGCACTGGCTGAAACTAAGCAAAGCGGGTAGGCCGCACACTGAGTGTACGTGGAGATCTCTTTTTTTGCAGCAGAGCGTGCTCAAAAAGCTCCATCTGGCTGGGATTTTCTGTTTTTGTCATCAATCTGGAGAGGCACATGTTCTGTAACTGTTGAGTATGAGGCTCAGGTGCGTGCAGGCTTCTCTAAAGCATGATTCGGTTAAAGTTGCACATTGTGTGCTGCTTTTCTAGAATTATACCAGGATGGCAACCTGTAATCTGAATTACATCTACAAGATTTTATTTAGAGTATAAAATCTTTTCACTTTTATATGGGATTGCTAGCAGGATCTTGTTATATAGATACGATTATCAAGAAGAAAAATGGCCACTGTTGATTGGCTTTACATTCACTAATGACTACTGCTCAAAATGTTGCTGTAGTAGATGTTTCATCAGACGTAAAGCAAAAGGAAATGGTTCTGCTTGTAATAATGGTGCTAATTCTCCTGTTGCACACCTTCATTTATGATGTGACCAAAGCCTGCCTTTGTCCTTCTCCGCCCTTCTGATAAAACATCTCTAGTTGGAAGGTTAAAGAAGAAGAGTGGATCAGTTTCTGTTTTAATATCCAGAATAAGTGGACGATTCAGGTTAAGTCTGTGATTCCATGGGTCTGGAGGCGTCAAGACAAAGACAAGAGAAGTGTCTTCACAGTTACAGTGCACACAGCCTTCATGAGAATATCATGGGAGGATATATCAACAGGGGCTCTAACATGGAGTATCATGGGAGGATATATCAACAAGGGCTCTATTTTGGGTTGCCAGCCATGATGTATTTTTAAAGTAAGATATCTGGGTGTCTATTCAAACCGTTTCCCATACATTTGGTGTCAGCATTTTGTTTCATACAAATGCCATGAACCCCCACTTAAGTGATGTAATAATAAACAGCATCCACAGCACAGACTAGACTTTGACATATTGCTTTCTTAACTCTCTGCATTAATTTTAGAAAGGGAATCTCTAGAATTCCTGTGGATTTGCACTCGTTTTCATAGTGGGACACTTCTATGTCCATTCTGGCCTCTGTATGTAATGCCGAATGCAGGGAATTAAATCCTGGACTGGAATAGGAGTTCACGGAATGGATCGGTAGAGGCACAGTAGTCCGAGTGCTCTTTATTACACGTCTGTCTACAGGGGGGAGTTGGGGGGGGGTCTTGGACTGGTAGAGGCTATTTGAAGTTCCAATTTTGTGCAAAACACGCTTGCGCTTGAATGAGTTGGAGGTTGTGGTGCAGAAACTCCAAAGTGTCCAAGATGGGTCAACGAATCGTTCACATGCGTCTGGGTGTTGCAGAAAAGTGCAGAGTACCAGCAGTGCCTTGGACACAAAGAGAGGCTTTCGAGAGATTCAGGAGAAGATGTTAGTGTCTGCAGAATGTAATGTTTTTTTTGGGAATTGCACCCAAAGCTCTAGACTTCTTGACCTTCGGTCTGCTTTAAATGCTCCAGTTTGATGAGAAGTGAACTAGGAGCTGCAAGGTGGTACAAAAATAAAAGATCAAAGATTTGGAACAGGGCTTTGAAATTAAAATTCAAAGGAGAAGTTGGAACGTGGGCAACATGAGGTGGAGGGCGGAATACAGAGCTCTTATTTGTATCTACTGTACAAAAATAAAGTAAAAGTAAAGTTTTACTGTTGGAAGAAAATTTTCTACTTTAGAAATCCTACTGCTCTAAACTAGACTAAACTAGACTAGATTTGTAGCTCACTTTGCCTCTATAAATAAATCAAACTCACTCGGGGAAAAAGAGGTCCTTTAAGTACACAAGCCTCCGGTGCTATGTCCTTAGTCTAAAAAAAAAACAAAACTTTTTTGTGTGCTAACTAGCGAAGCTGAATGTACAGTCTTTGAAGTGGGGATGAGAAGAGAGTTACGACAGCTGTGCTGAAGTCCCTTATTTATATTTACTTCCAGCAGCCTCAACAGGCTTTTTGTGAGCGTGCAGCAGTCCTAATGCGATGTGTGCTGTCACAAGGACTGAGTGAAAGGCAGAATGGCTGCAAGTTCAGAGGGACCTCAGACGGCTTCTGAGCTGCAAGCCCTGGGAATGTGAATGTTTTCAAGGATGAAACAGATGCTCTGGGGCTGACTTTCTGCTCCCAGCAGTTGAAGCCTCCATTTTTAAAAAAATGTTTGCTGCAGAATGTTCCCGCTCCGAAACTCACCTTTCCTCCTCTCATTTTTAGGTGTCGGCGTGGGACTTTGAGGCGCTAGCTGAGGCCGCGGCCTTCGAGGGGGCCTGAGAGACGCACGGGCCCGCCCGCCCGCCCTTGGCATGCCTACGAAGCGGGAGTCGCCCGCGCCTGCCCCGCTCCAGCTCCGCCCCGCAGACCCTCGCCACCGGCCCCTGTGAGGAGCATGTTGCCTACGCTGTCCCTCTGCTCCATCGTGTGGTTAAACCGGGGGTTCAAACTGAGGAAAGCTCTTCTGTCCAACACAGGACAGCACTGATCTCTCGCCTCCCTGCCTCGGCCCACTCTAGCATGCTCCTTAGTTTCGGCTCATAGCGCCGTCGACTGTCGAGAGACTCTCTCTTTGCCCCCGCCCGCCTCCGGCCTGTAGGACGAATCCCCCCGGCCCAGCGCTCGCCAATGTCTGCGGAGGGCTTCCAGTATCGTGCGCTTTACGTTTACAACAAGGACTGGGACGAGGACGTTGACCTCCAGCCCGGTGACCTGCTGACCGTCAACAAGGCCTCGCTGCTGGCCCTGGGCTTCAAGGAGGGAGATGAGGAGAGACCCGGGGAGCTGGGCTGGATGGTGGGGGTCAACGAACGCACGAAGCAGAGAGGCGACTTTCCAGGGACCTACGTGCAGTACGTGGGGCCTGTCAAGATGTCGCTGCCTCTCAACCAGCCGCGATTCCAGAGACCCCTGCCCGCTGCCCCCAGGGCCGAGCCCCCTCCTGTGAGGCAAGGTAGGCCCCAGCCCCACCGCCATCGCTCACCCCCCGGGATAGAAACACGTCGCGGCCTCGTCGCGGGGGGGAGGGGGGGTCATTCGGGCGACTTCTAGTGTGGCACCAGGCAGGACGCGGCCACCGGGAGCTAAATCACATCACGTAGGGCAGGAAGAGCCGGTGAACTGCTGGAAGATCTGGAGCAAAGCTGTGAAGTTTGAAATGCCAATGAGTAACACTAACAGTAGCAACAGAAAGTTAAAAGTTACGTAGGCCGAAGTTTTGGTCGTCTGTGTCAGGTTAGGTTCTATGTTTTGCACTGAATTAGTCCTTTTGTTCGACTCCTGATCTGCCTGCTTCTTCATGTTGGTCTGGGCAAGGCTGGTCTTGACGACAGTCTGACCTGGCTGAGCTCTGCAAAGAGGCGACATTGTTCGGACCAGCTCGAGCCCAGTGGCCTGGCCCGAGTTTTACAAACGACTTCTTAACTGCTTATTTGGTGGGACAGTGCTGCAGCTGATGTCTTTAAACCATGACGCGACGCGTTTGATAAGTATGGTCTTGATGGGCTTTGATTGAGGTGGCTTCTACCCGAGAGATTCTTTGGAGAATCCAAATTTCTTTGCAGACTTCAAACAAATAGGTGGCCCCTTTTTGATATCTTTGGTTTGAAAACCAAGCTTGAGTGATTGTCATGTTTGTTTATGGCCTGCGTGGGGGCTGTATCAGAGGTTTGTACTTGAGAGGCTATAGTAAATCCTTAAATAACGGGTTACAATGGAAAAGTAAAATGCCTATTCCAAGTAGTAATTTGATAAAGGGAGCAGTCAGAGATGTTTGCAGCTCGTTGCATGAGGTTTCCTGGAGTGCTGTGAAGGAGAGTGGCTTGTCAAGGTGCTCCAGGTAGCCTTCCAAGAGTGGATGACTCCTAGCAAAGGGCAAATACCCAGTGTACTTGAACAGAGGCTGGCCTGTGTGAGCTGTGATGCACTGTAGCAGGCTGGTTCGGAGGAGTCCTCAGTAGGAGGCTCAAGGCTGTCCAGCAAACAGCCGGGTAGTTTGGGAAGCAGTGGGAGGTCTGGGCGGTGTGTGTGTGAATGCCAGTTACATTAAGCCAAATCGAAAAAGAAGGGTTCCGTCACCATCGTGCCTCTGTGATCAGGTTGGATGTGCTACGCAGTGTCTATCCACCCTTTCAATCTTTGACATAGATCCTTGGTAGCTGCCACTACACTAGGACTGCAAATCTTGAAGTGGAGGTTTTAGAGACACCAGAGTTACCTGCACATGTTGTCACTTTGGGATCTAGACTTTGCCCACTTCCCCATCTCCGAGAGAAGGTTTTCACTCACACCCCCGGAGACGTCGTGAAGGTCCTTATCGGAATAACCCGGCACTTACAGGGGTCTCTGGTGTCTGCTGCAATATTAAAGCCTGTGTCCTGATTCCGTGCTGTGTGATGATGTCATGCTCTTTGAAAAACGGCCAATGTGCACCCCCTTAGGGTGCATTTTAGATGATATACATTGGAGAAAAAAATCAATCAAGAGAAATTGAAACAATATAGCAAAATTATCCAAGAATTTGAGGAGCTTACTTTATTTAAAACACTTTGTTGATTCATAGGAAAAGCTTTGGTTTTTATTAAATTAACATGATTATGTATCCCCTTTCTTCTTTTTCCGATTTAGCCACAGTTTTTGCAGGAGGATTTATAAAGATCATAGCTTGTATGCCTTTTCTTACTGTCTGCTGTGTAGCTATAGACATGCTTTCCAGAGAACTGTCCAGACAGCATTAGTTTGTGCATTTTTGTCTCCAGAACAGGCCTGGACCACAGCTGAATTCCATTGAGAAACAAATGACAAGTTTTTTTAAACCGTGTGAAATTGTACAAAAATCAGGCACTCAAGGTGGACAGGGTGGCGCAGTTGGTTAGCATTGCATTCCAGACATGGGGTGCTGTCTGCGTGGAGTTTGCATGTCCTCCCCGTGTTTGCGTGAGTTTCCTCCAGGTGCTCCGGTTTCCTCCCACGGTCCAAAGACAGACGAGGAGGGGGTTAATTGGCTTCTGGGAAAACACGCCGCTTGTTAGAGTGTGTGCGTGCTTGTGTCTGTGACCTGCGATGGACTGGGGTCCCATCCAGGGGGTATCTTGCCTTCTGCCCTTTGCTTGCTGGGATAGACCCCAGCTCCCCCATGACCCTGTATTGGATGAAGCGGTTAGACAAGGGGTGGACAGGCTGTTACTCTACTTGTTAGTAGGGTATGTGGTGTGTCCTTTTCCTTCGTTATTACTTTAAAAACCTGTTTCAAAGCATTTATTTGTTAGCCTACTGTAAAAGAAATGAACTTCCTTTTAGGAGCAGTTTTTTTTTTAATGTTTAAGATGTTGGATGGTTTTTTTGTTTAATAAACAATAAAAGAAAAAGTGAATACTTAAGCTACATATTTTTGTGTACATAAATGTATAGACGTATTACTATAAACACTTCACTGATACTGACAAACAACCTTTTAATGTGTGATTTAGCAGTTATATCTATGTTACATTGTTTATGTGATTGTGACTTATGCTTGTGCATTAACTAAACACATTTTTCAAGTGTTTTTACAGTTTTATGTATACAGAAACAGAACTACACTTCAGCACTGTTCAGAGAAAACACATTGTAAGAGACAATCAATTGTACATCATTTTGTAGCAAATAAAATGAATTCTGTTGAAATTACAAGGAAGTAAAAGCCATAGAATGAGACCAGATAAGGCAACAAAACTGGCAAAAAAGTGAGTGTTGTAGAATATTTAGTACATAGTGGGTCCGCCTTTATTTCCTACATTAATTGCTGAAAAATGTAAATGAACAGATTAATCAGACTCAGTCAATAATAATTTCATGTTGGACTATCTGAATATTCTTCTCCCAGAACACCTCTTGCAGAGCTTTGCTGAAGCCATAGCACCTTGAGGAAGTTTTTATTCTCTTGAAATCTCTTCTGTAGGAGATATAATTGGGCATTTGTGCGTGACCGAGAAATAAATTAATACAACAACAGCTAAGTGCATGAATGAATTAAATAGCGTGTTGTTGTTTTTTTTTATTTGAACGTTACTTGAATTCTCAATTCAGAAATACTGGTCGTACTGGTGAAACTGCTGACTTGGTGGGGGGGACGATACCAAGACGTGTCAAAGACCGTGAACACACCATCCGGGGAAGCAGCTCTCTCCCCGTTGTGAGGCTTGCGTGGCGTGCCAAAGGCGAGCCCGAACCGCTTGTCCCGTCCAGCGGGCACCTGTCGGGGCTCTTGCAGAGCGTCGCTCGCAGCGCAAGCTTGCTGGGATCCGTCAAGGGCGATTACGGGAGACGGCCGTCTGCGCGGATTAAACAGAGTCCAGCAGTCGCAAATGCTATTTCCGACTTCGCTTCGGCGCAGACTTTCCATTTCAAATCTGGCGAATTCAGCCAAAATGGAAAGCGGGGGCGGGGCGTAGTCGGAACAGCCTGTCCGTTTGCGTTTCCAGCCGGCGCTCCTGCGAGGCCGTGTGTGCGCTTTCTCAAAAAGTGACGGGGTGTTTAAAAGCGGGGAGACCTTTGACATGCTTAAGACGTGCTTCACTCTCTGTTTAAAGAAAGAAGGAAACTGGGTAATATTGTATAAAACAAGGTCTGATCACTGTTCGGAGCTGGAAGGAGAATAGGAGAGATGCTCCATTGCTACTTCAGAGCAGTAGTACGTTTCTCTGACTGCTACACAGTGATGGAGTAATGTAGTGCCTGGTTAATGACCACACCTTCATACAAATACGGTTGTGTTGTGCTGACAGTCCTTCCAGTGGTTTGGCATTAATGAGTGGTGATTCCTGTTTACTTCTTCATAATCCCCTGCTTTTCTTGCTGGTATTTGGCAGACCATTACTATAATGGCCATCATAATTCATAAAAACAACAGATTGTGCTGTAAATCTCTGGTCTTGATATTTTCTTCTGGTTTCTTCTCCGTGTTGCATTATTGTCGTTTACTAGTTGAAGAGTAAATGTCTGTTGGGTTCTTATTGACACAAACCTCACTGTAGCACTGGAAGAAAGGGCGATTTGGAGATGAAAGCTTTCTCGTAAAAACTTGAAGCCAGAGACAGCTTCTGCTTCTGCAAAGGCTGCACGTTTCAATCAACACAAAAACACTTGATCATTTATGCCTCCAGTGGCATCCGAAAATGATTTTTAGTGGTTTAGGAAGCCGACTCCCACAGCGGAGCTGAATCTTTGTGCCTCAGGTTACCCTCGATGGGTTCACGTGTGTCTGCCCTGTTTCTTCACTGCTCGGGTGAAGTGAGAACTTCAGCTGCCTCCAGTAACCCCCCTCCTTCCAGTCGCCCATTACGAACGACGATCCTTCGTGCAGGAGAGAAGGTGACGAACGCGTGCGCCTGGCGATGACTTTTCATGCAGAATCCTTACAGGAAACGAACTTCGAGCAAAGAATAACAACTGTTGGTGTCGTGTAATGGTGAAAAGGTATCTGCAGTGGAAGAAACTGGGTGCCCTGTTCCACGTACCTACTAACTGTGCATCTCGTCAAAGTTCATTCTGTTCATTTTTTTCCCTTTCTCTCTCATTCACACTCCCTCTTTCCCTTTCCTCCTCTCCTTCCCCCTCTATTTCTCCCCTCTCCTCTCTCTATCCTTCTCCTGCTCTCTCTCTCTCTGTTGCTCTCCTCCCCCCTCCCCTCTCTGTGCCCTGAAGGAAGCAGTAAATTGTAATTTGCTGGGAGCTCGGGCAGTGCGCCAGCCCTATCTGGAGAAAGAACTTGTATATCAGGTAGGGGGCTTTTGCTGAGCAGGCACATTCCCCAGCAGTCACGTGACACCACTTCAATATTTGCCTTCTATTCATTCTCTTCAGGGGGCAGGTCAGCTCAGTGCCTTTCCAGACCACAAGCTCAGGGAGAAATGAAAATTGCACCTACAGCTGCCCAAGAAATTTATAGCTGTAAGGGCCTCCTTTTATACTTCC